TTGGATTTATAGGAGACATATGTATTTATATTTACATATTTATACATTTTTATATATTTATATTTAAGCTGATAAGAAACTGTCCACAGGCCAGAGAGCTACTGAGTTGGAAGAGATGCTCACTGCAGCATCACCGTTGTTGTTCTGTTCTGTGTGTGTTGCACACGCACACGCTTGGGGGCGGGGTAGTGGTGGTGGCAGCAGGTTGTTCGAAGCTACTGAGTGTCCACCACTGGAAGAATGACAACCTATGTGGGGTGGTCACCACGGAATACTGCGCAGCAGTTAGAAGCTACAAGCAGATGCTAACAAGCAGATGGACACTATGGAAGCTATTAAGTATATATCTATATCTATATGGCAAAAATAGGTGAAAGAAACAAAATGAGACACAGCACACAGATCCATTTACAAAAAAACAAAAAGACATGCAGATGAAACAACAGCACCTGTCGCAAAACATATACAACCAAAAATACATATATAACACATTAGAGTTCACAGAGTAACACACTGGGAGGAGAGGAATAAAAGTGGAGTATGGGGATGAAGGTTAATGGGAAAGAAAAATGTTTTTGAATGTGAGAGGACTTGTACTACCTGACTTCAAGACTTACACAGCTACAGTAATCAAGATGTATGGCATCAGCATCAAGATGGACAAACCGATCAATGAACAGGATAGAGTCCACACATATAGGTCAGTTATAAGTAAACCACACATAGAGCTTCAACTGAGTTTTTACAAAGGTGTAAAAGCAATTCCGTGGAGAAAGGAAGAACTGAATATTCATATGCAAAAAGTGAATTGGGATCCATAACTCAAAGCATAGGAAAATTGAACTCAAAATGGATCATAGACCTAAATGCAAACCCAAAAACTATAAAACACAGGAGAAAACATCACAAAAAGAAAACATAACAGAAAAATCTTCATGACATTGGGTTAGGCAAAGATTTCTTAGTTGCAACACCAAAATACTAATCCATAAAAGTAGCATTGGATAAATTGGATTTCATCAAAATTAAGGGCGCTTGCTCTTTGAAAGACAGTGTGAAACACAAAGAAGAAACTGGCAAACCACATCTCTGATAAAGTGCTCGTATCCAGAATAAAGAACTCTCAAAACCCAGTAAGAACACAAAACGGAGGGGGGGGGCAGGAAATTTGAAGGCAATTCATCAGATTTACCAATGAAAATAAACACCTGAAAGACTGTTCAATATCATTAGCCATTAAGGAAACTCAAAGGAAAACCACAATGAGATACCACTACACAGCAAATAGAATGACTGAAATGAAAAAGATTGACCATAACAAATATTGGTGCATCATTGAGGGTGTAGGGAAACTGGAACTCTCATACACTGCTGGAGGGCACATAAAATAGTACAACCACTTTGGGAAGCAGTCTAGCAGTTTCCTAACAAGTTATAAACACACGTCTGCCATATGACGTAGCCATTTCACTCCCAGACGTGTACCCAAGAGAAATGAAAGTCTAAACAGACTTGGATGGGAAAGTGCATAGCAGCTTTATTTGTAATAGTGAAAAACTGCAAACAACCCAAATGTCCATCAACAAGTGAACAGATCAACAAATTGTGATATATCCATACAATGTAACACTATAAAATAAATTTTACTTAGCCATAGAAAGGAAGAAACTATTGATACATGCAACCACAGGGGTGAACCGCAAAGTAATTATGCTGAGTCATAAGAAGCCAGACACAAGAGTATACGCTGTATGATCTGCATTTACATAAAATTCTAGGAAATGCAACCTAACATACTGTGCCCGGAAGCAGATGAATGGTTGTCAGAGAAAGAAGGAAACCTGCAGGGCCGATGGATATATGATATGTTTATGAGCACGATCGTGGTGGTGCTTGCTCGAGAGCTCACATATGTCAAAACGCATCAAATTGTACACTTAAGTTATGTGCAGTTTTTTGTAGGCCAATACCTCAATCAGTTTTAAAAACTTTAAAAACCTTTTAAAAACGAAAAAGGTAATGTCGCGTCCAGGGTGACACGCTGGTAACTGGCAGAGCGCGATTCAAACGCAGAAATCCGCACCTGGAGCCCGCGTTCTCAGCCCCTGAGCTCCGGGGAACAGGAGCCCGGAAGAAAGTGCTGGAAGGGGGCAGAGGCCGAGCGCGCGGGTCGCGGCCGAGTTAACGATTACCGGTGGGCGGGTCCTCTCGGCCCCTCCCCGCCCGCGGCCCCGAGCGCCCGGCGCCG